TACAGCATAATGATTTAACTTACATATATCATGAAGTGATTGTTTCATACAATAAATTTAGTGTTCACAATAAATTTAGTGAACATCAATAGATACAAAATTAAAGAAACAGGAAAAAATTATTTTTCTTGTGATGAGAACTCTTAGGATTTACTCTCTTCACAACTTTCATATGTAACATTCAGCAGTACTATATTAATCATGTTGTACATTACATCCCTAGTACTTTTTTATCTTATAACTGAAAGTTTGTACCTTTTGACTGCCTTCCTCCAGTTCCCCCTCCCCCCACCCTCCATCTTTGGTAACCACAAATCTGATCTCTTTTTCTATTAGTCTATCTGTTTTTAAAGTATGATTGACCTACAGAACTATGTTGATTCCTGTTACAGAACATAGTGATTTGGTATTTCTCTACATTTCAAAATGTTCACCAAGATAAATCTAGGTACCATCTGTCACCATACAGAGATACAATTACATAGTTACTGACTACATCCCCACACTGTATATTTCATACTGTCACTCATTTATTTTACAACCAAAGTTTTTACCTCAATCTCTCTCATCTATTTCTTTTCTCTCCTCACCCCTCTCTCCTCTGCGAACCATTTGTTTGTTCTCTGTGTCTATAATATAATTCTGTTTCTGTTTTATGTTTGATCATTTTTTTTAATTCCACATATAAGTGAAATCATACAGTATTTGTCTTTATCTGATTTATTTCACTTAGCATTATACCCTCTGGGTCCACCCACATTGTTGCAAATGGCAAGATTTCACTCTTTTTTATGGCCAAGTAATACTCATACACATATAACACTCACACCCATCTTATTTATCCATCCATTGATGGGCACTTTGGTTACTCCTGTGTCTTCGCTATTCTAAGTAATGGTGCAGTGAACATAGGGGTGCATATATCTTTTCTAATTAGTGTTTTTGTTTTCTTCAAGTAAATATCCAGAAGTGAAATTACTAAGTCATATGGTAGTTCTATTTTTAATTTTTTGAGATACCTCCATACTGTTTTCCATAATGGCTGCACCAGTTTATATTCCCACCAAAAGTGCTCAAGGGTTCCCTTTTCTATACTTCCTTACCAACACTTGTTATTTGTTGTCTTTTTTTATAATAACCATTCTGATAGATGTGAGGTCAGTTCATTTTGGTTTTGATTTTCATTTCCCTGATGATTAGTGATGTTGAGCATCTTTTCATGTACCTGTTAGCCATCTGTATGTCTTCTTTGGAAAAATGTCTGTTCAGATCCTCTGCCCATTAACTGTAGGGTAATGCATTCCGTATGCTGCCCTGGCAGGCTTGCTCACTGTGCATATCCACATGACAACATTCAACCGTAGTCTGACACAAGTCTTGACAGGAGGCCCTATGATCCTCCCTGGATCATGGCAGGATAGGGGAGCCATCATAAAGCCATTTATCATCTGACTCCCTGCCTTGTAGAAGGCTGCCATGAGGCAGTTTCTCATTCGACTCCCTGGTTCCAGTGAGGCATGGGATTTCCACTGTACCCACATTCAGGTACAGATATAGGCCAATAAAACTGCTTGGTTGGAGTTTAGAGTTGGCTCCTTAATGACAGAGCTACTCTCCACTTAAATCATCTGTGATCTGGCCCCCCTGGTTCAGTGTCAGCAAGGGACCTAGGACGTGGGACACTGACTCCACACTGGTCTTGCTTTTGCTATCTGTGTAAGTAATAAACTGTCTATTTTAGCTCATTGTCTCCCTACAGACCAAATACATGCAAGTATGACAGTCAGCCTAGCAGCTGCAGCTGCTTTTTTTTTTTTAATTTTAGAGTTATTATTTATTTTGGTTGAAGTATTGTCAGTTTACAATGTGTGTCACTGCAGCTATTCTTGACAGTAACTTCTTGGTTTCTGATTTAATAAATGTAGTGAGAGGAACAGGTTTTGGAGATTAGAGGAAATTAAGAGTTCTCTTTTGGAAAATTAAATTTGAGGTGTTTTATAAGAAATCTGAATGAAATTAAGTAGATGATGGGATATATGTCTGCATCTCAGAGAACAGGTACAAGTTTAGGAGTCAGTAGTCGGTAAATAGTATTTTAAGTCATTATTCCTGCTGAGATCACCCCGAGGAAGCAGATAGGCAGAGAACCCCAACCAAGTGTTGACCTTTAGAGGTCAGGAAGTAGAAAACCTGCCAAAAGAAGCAGATACAGAAGGATTGTGGGGAACCAAAGAATGTGGTGTCACTGGAGCCAGAAAAAGAGAAAAGTCACGGTCTCAAATGCTCCTGGGGCATTGAGAGAAGAGGACAAGGTGTGTCAGTTCAGTTTGGGAACATGAATATTGGTGTATATTACCATTTTTACAAATGAAGGGGTAGAAACTGAGAAGTATCTTGCAAGGGGTGAAAAAATGGCCAGTGTAGACAACTTATTTGAAAAGTTGCTGTCAGAGAGAGCAGAGAAATGGGGTAGCTGGAGGGTATATGGGGTTGTGTGAAGGTTTTTATTTAAGATGCTTGAACTTCTAAAATAGTGTAACTGGAAATTATGCCTGCTTTTTTACCCCAGTAATTGGAGAAATACATCTTTTAAGTAGAAGTCAGAATTTTCATTTTACTTTAACTTATGTAAAGATGTTTTAATCCTAATTTAAGAACACAGACATCTAAAAAAGATTGTATTTCAAATATATTTATAGTGTTCTCTCATCTTCATTTATTTAGTACTTCTGGTTAATTATCTGACAGTAAAGGAGATAACAAAAGAATTCACTGTAAAAGACAGATTTCCAGTATCTGATTCTTATATCCTCGGGAAATATTAAAGCTGAAAATGAAATTAGGAAAATGATATTAAATTATCATGTGAGTATTTTTATTAATATTACAAATTAAAGGGTTTTTTTTTTCTGACACCCAGAAGTAAGTAGTATTGTCCTCTGTAGTACATCTCTGTAACATATCTTTTATATGTGACCATTAAATATAAGGACCGCCTTGTGCTCAGTGCTATGCAAAATATCGTACTATGTGTAATACCATGGTAAGGAGTCTACATACTTTAGCTCAGGATTTTCACAGAAACCCTGATGTAATCCATTTTTCAGAAAAGGAAACTGAAGCTCAGAGCTACTGACAAATTATACAGGAAATGGTAGCTAAACCCAGGCAGTATGATTCAGAGCCTACACTCAACACTATACATACTTCCTTTAGAGTAGAATTGTTTTTGAGGGTTTTTGTTTTTCTTTTTTGAAGTTTGGAGTTTTTTTTTTTTTACTTAGCTGTTAGAAAAAGTCTAACTTTGGATGATTGAAAAATTGTTTTAAGATATCAAAAGTGATATTATTGTAAAAAGGCACTTTGACCTAAGGCGAAGTTCCACTATCATACCTTATTTGGCCTGTCTAACCTCAGAAGTTTCCTTTTGTAAAATGTTACTGCCTTGATTTTGGCTTTTGAGAATGATTTCACTACAGTATTAAGAAAGCTGTTGACTTCTCATGCATCTCACAATTTTCTCTTCTGTGAAAATCCTAGTAAGCAATGCCAACTGGCTCCTCTCTAGTCCCTCAGTGACCTTCCAACCAGCAACAAAATGTTGAAATCAGCAACGGAGCTAAAACCACTGCTTTCCTATTTTCTTTACCAGTGTCCTGCTCTAAAAGCATTGTTAGAGATACTAAGGCCAAATAAATATTTTCACATAGGTTGAATAGTAGAATGGTGAGTGATTGAACTTGAGGACAACTCGTACCTACTAGAAGCCCCGTAAATTCCAACTACAGTTTTCATAGTGCTCATCCTTGGTCATCACCTGAAATGGAAGCTCTAATTGTTTCAATCAGGGTCCAGTAAGTAAAATAGTAACCATACCTGTTATTTTAACATAACAATTACTATAAGGAATTAAGTGTTAGAGGACTGGAAAAGTAGAAAGGGCCATGAGATAACATGGAAGCAGCTACCAAATATATAAACACAAAGTGTTAATAATTATCTCCTGGTAGTAAGATTATAGCTAATTTTTCTACAAGGCATATTAAATACATTCATGTTAGAGCCTAAAAGTAATGCTTCTTCAGGTTAATGCATTAAGTAGATAGTAGAAACAGAATCTTCTAGAATATGGTTATATAATCATATGGGATATGAGATTTCACCATTGGAATGCACCCCTTTGTCGTAAACTTGCAGGTTCAAAAAGAAACTGCCTGTGACTGTAACACAGGCACCAATTAACACACCCCTTTATTTAAAGAACCCAAGAAAAATCAACTTCCTGGGACAAAAAGTCCTTAAGCGATGAATTGAAAGTTTCACAACTTAGCTGTAGTACTTTGTATCAAACACTGATATTTTTGTTTGCCCTCAACCCCACCCCACTGTGGCCATTTTCTGAGGAAATGCCTTTAGTATCTACATGGTCATTTGCTGAAACCACCATTATTTAACAGGACCTGAGGAGAGTTGACTGGTAGAAGGGTGGGCACCTGACCCAAGGTGATCTTTCCCTTGAACCAGAATTGGGAGGTAAGGATTCTCTTTGGGTGGCATGAAGGGTTCTCACCATGTGATGTGAAGAACTAACGGAGCCAATATTGCAATGAGGGGCACAGCTGGATTATTTGAATCCCCAGCCAGAGCCTCTGCCTGTTGCCTACTGCATTCCTTCCTCAGAGTAGTCTAAAAACAGTCCTTTCCTGTGTTCAGTAAGAGTTTCAAAGAAAATGGTTAGAGAATTAAACTTTGATTTTATTTACGTACACAGATGCTGTTAAAATTTTGAATTCATGGAATTTAAAAATCTGTAGTATGTAAACAATTCAAAATTTGGTAAGAAAAATGAAAAATAATTCTAAACACAGTGGTTCATGAAAATGTTTAAAATACTGGTTTTAGATGCTGAATATAAACAAGGAGAACTGTAGTCTTGGCATAAACACTATAATTCTATAGGGAAAAAAACATAGAAAATCAAAATATTATTGTTTAAGTAAGTCTTCCCATATTAAAACCACAATGACACACAGACACTAAAACACACTATGCTCTATTCCAGTACTCTGGTACTATAAGTACCAACAGGTTACAACACCCATAATAACTTGCTTGTAGCTCTGACCTTGAAAACAAATGGCTGTTGTGAAATAGTATGACCAAACCAAGAGATGGTTCTGTACAAATCAAAATGAAACAATACAAAATGTAGGACCAAAATCAAGCATAAAAATAAAGCAACATAACCTTATTTTGAGAACACTAATCCTTCATCACAAAGGATACTTTTTATGTATTAACACTTACAGAGTACACTTACAGTAATTCTTTATACATCCAGCAATGCAACAAGAGCCTAAAGCAATGACTAACACAACTGACAGGCTTCAAATGACAGATGACAATAATATACTACACTGATAAACTCTTAATAAGGGAAGTATCTATATAAAGTGTCTAGAGTTCTTCAGCCATGATTCTCTTAGCCCTGTGTGTTCACCATTCATTTTCACCCATTTCTATAGGAGAATTGTTTTGGGTGGAGGAAGATGAATAACCGCCACACTCAGGTATGGGCTCTGGTAGCCAGTTGTTTTCTTGCAAGAGTGGTGTTGTAGACAAAGTAAATTGAATCTCAAAAAACTCTAATGATTCTCCATCTTCCTTCTCTATCAGGAACTGATAGTCCCCAAATCTAACCATGCACTTGTATGGCAGGTCCATTTTATTTAGGTAGCCCAGCTCCTTGTTGTCCACAATCAGATTGGTCCTCTTACTCATATTTTTAATTTCAAAAGAGAGAACTGAGCTACCAAACTTTTTAAACAGCTGCAGAGAAAACTGAACTCGGGAAACCTGTTTATCCTGAAACGTATAATGACAGGTGTTGGAATTTCGGCCAAATTTCACCACTTCACTGGAGGAGAGTTTCTCTCGGTTAAAAAATCTTATTGACTGGAATATTCCACTTCGCTGGTAGCCAGGATGATAAACAGTCATCTGGAGACAGGTTACTGTCTCTTCCGTGTCAGCATCTTCAAAACCAGACATGATGTGCACCAGAATCTGACCTGCCTGCAACAATCAAATCAGCACATTAGTTCACTCCCATATGTCAAGCACTCAGATCTTGGATTATAATATTTTGATGAAAATTTTCTGATAGGTGATTTATTTAGACTTTAAGAAAATGATACATAGAATACTTTCAACTAACTAGTAGAAACGTGAAATCTTATACTAAGCCCCATGAGAAATGATGCATTACTTTTTCCTATTTTTCATTTCTAGTTTGACAGTAAGACTACACATATAATCTGGACAGTAACAAGGAATGATTATTGATAAAGTGATTTGGGGGGAGGATAAAGAAACTTCAGTTCAGTTCCTTTCTCATTTAAATTGAGTGACTTGGGCACAGACAAAATAGGACAGCTATACTTTAAAAAGAAAATCAGGAATAAAGAATCCCTTTGGTGCGAATACCCTCATTGGATATACACATAAAGAAATCTATAGTTTATTAACTGAATTATAATTTGATACTATGAGTTATGAAATCTGATTAAAGAAATTTAAAAGTTATAAACAAGTAACTGCAACATTTGTCCTGTATATCCTAACTTAGATTTCTAGTAAGTAAAGGTTTAAAAACAGTAAATGCTTTAAAAGTTTATTTTGTTCTATAATTTTAAAATGTAGACATTATACGCTTTTAATTGAAAAATAAATCTCCTTGAGGTAGTTCTAAATATCATATAGTCTGTACTTGTACTGAAATTATTTATTTTTGTCAATGGTTCCTAATGACTAGACAGACAAACTGTCATTAACCACAAGCAACACAATCCAACTACTGTTAACCACATCCCTCTTGAGTGCACGGCCCTTTGGTGTCCTCCACCTACACTATAAGTACCGTTAATAATCAGTGGAGTAGTATAAGCAGTAAAACAGGACAGAAGAATTAGTTACTAAAATCTATGAGAAGTTATTTTGACACAGAACTGCCAGTTTAGTTTCTTTTAAAAGAACTGCATGCACATGATTAAAAAATTCAAACATTTAAAAAGAATTTTTTTAAGTATCTTACTTCCACCCTAATCCTTTGTTTACTCTTTGAGAGTCAACTACTGTAAAAGTTGCGTTTATCCTTACAGAAGTCTGAAACACAATAAATATGTGTGTGCTCAAAGACATACACATACCTAAACATACAAAAAAAATTTCTTACACAAATAGGAACATACTGTACTTAATTCTAGACCTTGCATTTTTTTTTGATTAGTAATACCAACAGGTGATTTTTTCCGTATCTATACATATAAATATACCTCAGTCCTGAATAGCTGCCTAGAATTCCTTTAATCTCGTGTGGTGGTTATTACACCAGGAGATACAGGGTGATGCTGAGTCCTCCGGCCTTCCTTAAATACTATGCAGGACTTACAGAGGGGTTTGAGGAGCAATGGCCTTAAGCGAAGCTGACTTGTAGTTTTATTGTTTTTTGTTTGCCATCTGTATTAGATATTGGTATCAAATAATGCTGGTTAAAAAGAAAAAAGCAGAATGTTTTCCTTTTCTTTCTATGCTTGCTGCTGTGTACTTTTAAGATAGAATCTTTTCTGTTTTACAAAGTTGTGCTGCTAAAAATCAAACTCAGTTTATTCAATTACTCAACAAATGACATAACCAAAGAAAATTTCTTTTTTATTGATTTGGAAATATATCTGTAATTTTAAATTTACTTTCATAATAGGCTCTTTTTGGACATTATTATATCATATTGCCTTACTCAAGCAGACAACAAATGCCCAGCTATAAGCAGAAAAACAGAGAGGAACATTCAAAATCTTGGGGCAAGGGTGGTAAAAATTACTATAAAACCAAAGGCAGCAAGAACTAACACACAAAGACAAGAATTAATCAATCCTACACTGCAGGACTTGAAGATAATTTAATTACAATAATAAATATTTAAGAAGCAGACAGCTTAAAAGAATAATCATAACAAATCATGAGATGATGCAATTATTGGTTGACAAGGAAAGAATTAGCTGTTAACAAATAAAGAGTGTAAAAAGAAACTTCTTGTCATGATCTCTGCCTTGTCTAGGATACGCTGCCACCACTCTAATTCATTTCTGGACTTCGGACAGTAACAGTTCTAAAAGGAGACCTGGATGTTAAAACATGGTGTATTCTGGATAATGTCTTTTGGTAACATCCAAATCTTGTTTTTGTGTTCTTTATATAACCTAGTAGCTTAGAACTCAGTCTTTAGAGCAAATCCACCATCAGGAAAACTTTGACCCATATAGGCTCTTATGGCTAGTACACAGGGCAAATATATTAACCACTGCAAAGGAAAAAACTGGCATTCTGGTTTATAAATCAGTGGCTATAAGTGTCTTCGGGTGAAGCAATCAGCATCTGATGAACTTCTGGGTTCACAATTGTGAGCCTCCAACAAACACTGAGGGAGACTGTGTCACTGTCAAACATTTACTGCCCCTCACTGCCAGGCCCATCTCTACTGGCTCTGCCCCTTTAAAAGATGATCTTTCCCACTCCATTGACAATCATATCAATGAAATGTGAAGCTTATTTCTAAATAAACATGGAAGCTTATTTCTAAGCATACATTATAAAAATCACTGTGCAGGTAGATCCTTTCCTCTTTCTGTTACATTTGCAGTCCCCAAAAGGAGCAGCTCAGCGTGGGTCCCAGAGGGAAAGACCAAAGACAGAGCCATAAAAGACTTATCATACAAGCAAGAAATCAATCCTTTTTGTAACTTGTTACTGAGCCATAATGTACCCTGACATATGTCCTCACCTATCGTATGAATGTTTGAAACAGTTACAAAGCCTGACAGTAATAAAGGCTACTACTTACTGAATGCCTTTCATGTACCAGGCACAGTGCTAGCCCTGTATACATACTGTCTTACCTAATTTTCAAAATAACAGTATGAACCATCACTTCACAGACAAAGGAGCTGAGTCTCAGAGGGTTTAGCCAAGTAGCCGAGGTCACAAAGCCAGTGTCAAAGGCAGGATTCAAACAGAATGGAAATGCACCCTTTCTCTTGCCCACTACAAACATTACTCCCTGTTACCAGTTACTTCACAAACCAGTGTAGCTAACCAGGAGAGAAGAGACCCATGGAGGTGTGTTTATTAGAACCAACAAGAAACCAACCTAGAATTAGTGTTGAGGAGGTAAATACACTGTTACTGCCTCCTTATAAGAGGAAGAGGCTGTGAAGCACCAGGTTACTGGGAATATCAGTTATCCTTTATATGGATATTGGCATGTTACCAGTAATTATGGTGGGCTGCAGGGAGCTCCAAAGTTGAGTAAACCTTGGTCTCTGACCTCAGGGAACTTAGAAACTAATCTATTCATTAATTTCCAGAGCTGCAAGTTCCCTCTACAAAGTGGCCTGAATCTCTAACATTTCAGAGTGGACAGCAGAAAAATAGAAAAGACAGAAACTAACCAAAAAAACTAAAATTATGAAATTGCTGGATCTTTCATGTAAAAAATCACTCAAAAGTAGCTTTTTCAAATCTGATTGGCCTAAATTATCAAAGAAACATAAGAACAATGAGCTTACATAGTGGTAACGGTTGTTACATCTGGAGAGGGAAACTGGGGTCAGGGGTGTAAAGGAGACTTTTCACTGTGCACTCTGTGCCTTTGGAATTTTATACCATGTGCATCTAATATGCAGTCAAACATGTAACAAGTATTTCCTTTACAAAGTCATAAAGCATCTGATTTGTATAGTATTAAATGGAGTTGGAGGCTATCATTAAAGTGATAAACTATGATCTCTGATATCAAAAACTTGTAAAACACTGTTGATGATGTCTGACATACAGTAGCATCTGTATTAACATATGAACCACAATAACTGCTGGCACTAAGCTAGTAGGAGGGGAAGAGAGACTTGGAAGCACAGCAAAAAAGGCAGCTATCCTGCCTGACCCGTCTCACTGGTCATCACCCTGCAGTGTGGCTTTGAAGACATCCCTGAACGCTCCTGTTCAGCAGAATCAATACTTACTAAACAGGTCTTGCAAAAGGAGTCGTGAAAAACCAAAACAGCAGGAGGAAACCCTTGGTAAAGCTCAGGGGGTTTTCTTTTTTCTTTTTCTTTCTTTCTTTTTTTAAATCAGAGACGGTGTCTTCTTTCTCCAATTCTGCCTGGCTGGCCTGCGTCCAATTAAAATTGCAGTCTGATTCGCTGTGAGGGCAGACTTCCGCTGCGAGGTTGAGTGTGGACTCTGGCTCCAGAGGATTTGGAAAAGTTCTTCTTTCAATCTGGAAGCTGGGGAAAGTCCCGAAAAACAAGGGATTACGTTATTTCCCTAATGAACCAGGCCGAAGCAAGAAAGGCGGATGTAAAAGAGCCCCGGGTTTCAGCAGGAAAGTCTCTGCCAAGCGAGAGTGAGGGACGGTGGGCGACGGCGAGGGGTCTCCCGCAACCGCTGTGAGCTACCCTTCATAAACTTAATTGTTTTCTTGTTTACGGATTAGAAAAAAAATTGCAAAGCACAGAAAAGTACAATCCCATCTCTAGTATTTCTCCTCAGTGCTCCTTCCTCTGGTCTGCAAGTATTACTCTATTTTGTGAAGCCGGGATCACGCCGTAACTGCTCCAGCGTCTGCGCGTAGCCGAGCCAGCAGGAGGAGCAGGTGAGGACTGTCTGTACAACACCCCGAAAGTCTCCTTGACAAAGCTTCCCTCTCCGGGCGATAAGCAGAAAAGACCGTCCCCACGTCATCCCTCAGACCGCCACCCGGCAGGTACCTCGGCGTCCCGGAGTCCTTCCCAGAGCGGCTTCGCGTTCCGGGCTCCGCACGAGGTTAATGGACGCGACCCGGCGGAGGCCCCGGATCGCAGGCGGTCACCGCCCACCGCCCACCGCCCACCGCCACGCGTCCGCGCCGCACTCGGTGAAAACGCCCGCCCGCCCGCCGCGCCGCAGCTACAGAGGTGGGGGCTGGGGGGCAGGTGTGAGCCGGAGCTGGGGGACAGCGCCGAGGAGGGAGAGAGACGCAGACGCCTCTCAGCCCTGCGGGGCCAAGGCCTTCCCGCGCGCGCGGTGACGCCTAAATCCCGCCGGCCGAGCGCGCCCCCCGCCCTCCCCTCCCCGAGCCCTTAGGACGCGAAGTGCGAGGTTCCCAGACTCCGCCCAGCCCTCGCCCCCTCCCTCCTCCGCGCGGTGACCGCGCCGCCGACGTCGCCCTTCCTGACGAGAAGTCCAGCCGCCTTCTGAGCTCCCAGAACAGGTTTGATGCGTGGTAAGCCGGCGGGGACCCCACCTCCCAAACAAGAGCCCCTGTTCCGAAGAGGATGTGACTTGCGAGCTGGATTTTGAAAAGGGAACAGAATCACTTCACATTGAGGGCTGCTTCCCACACACACACACTGCAAGTGCTGGCCGGGACCGGGGTCGAGGGACGCGAGGAGTTGAACCTCCCAGTCAAGACAGGTGCCTGGCTCACATTATTCTTATTTAAGCCCCACGGTCGGAAGAGTGGGCCTCCCTTACAGATGAGTAAACTAAGGCCCAGAGAGTGGTTAAGTTTCCGGGCGAGCAACAGCACACGCAGGGCGTGAACTTGCTCCAGGGCTCCTAATCTGCCTCCCAGTGCCGGTGATGCTCTCGTCTGACGCCCAAGCAGTACAGGCGCTTCCTCTCTCGCCCCATCCACCTGAAGGGATTCTTCACTCAACACCCAGGGTCTCGGGTTCCAAAAGTAAGGGCTGGTGCTCGGTACAACGGGAAACTCTCAACCTCAGGAGTCCTTTGTAGCCTAGAGTGAATAAGGTGATACTATTTTTCTGCCTCAGGGAGAAGATCTGGAATGAACTAAAAGGTGCAGGGCACCTACTACAGTAGATATCTAGAAGGAGACAAGACTATGTGAGGAGGAAAAAGGATTGGGCACAGCGGCGAGAGGACAAAGCTTGCAGTGACCGAGGTCATACTGGCCTGCCTATTTCAAGGCTTGGAAACCGCCCACCAATTCTGGTAAATGTCTGATGGAAGCCGCCCATTTGTCTCGGTTCTGTCCTTGACTTCAGGACAGTACTTGTTTATGGGTCTGTTTCACTGGCAATAAAATGACAGTGACGCTTGCTGCTTCACCATCTGATAGAGAGGTTCTGAGAAGGGGTTAAGTATTAAACTCTCGGAGTCAGATATAATCAAGAACCGTAAGCATGAGGAAGGAAGGGTGCATCTGTAAGTAAGGCAGATTCCTATAAGGCTGCAGTTTTGTTCGTTAATCATCAACACTTCCTTCCCTGAGAGAGAGAGAGAGACAGTCACAGTACCTTTTTTTCAGCCAAAGAACCTTAGAGCAGGTGGAAGATAAAACATGCAATTGAACTACACCAGTAAACTCACACAATAAAATATTATTAGAATTGGAGTTTCTGATCTCTAATCTTTAAAATTAGTCTGTGAAAATACTTTATAAACTGCAAAGGACTATTTAAGTAGGTGTTATTAATAACACTAACAGAGAAAATGCAACAACTGCTAAAATTCACGATCTTGAAAACACTATTCCATTTTTCTGTTTCCTTTAAGATAACTTGATTTATAAAATGACCCAGAATGAGACTTAAAGTCCAGATCAGGATCTAATCTGAGTAATGGTTTTCTTCCTCTGACAACTGGTTAAAAACAATGGCCTTAAAACTGAAAATAGTTTTTGGAAGTAACAGCCACAAGTGCACACTTGAAGTTTCTGTTCCTTAAAGGTTTGAGGAGACACTCGACAGTGGCGACATGCTCCTGATGTCAACTATACTACAAAGCTATAGTAATCAAAACAGTGTGGTCCTGGCACAAATACAGACACATAGATCATTGCAACAGAATAGAGTTCAGAAATGAACCCATGCACCTATGATCAATCAATCTATGACAAAGTAGACAAGAATATACAATGGGAGAATGACAGTTTCTTCAATAAGTTGCATTGGGAAAACTGGACAGCTACATACAAAAGAATAAAACTATACCACTTTCTTATACCATATACAAAAATAGACTTAGAATGGATTAAAGACTTAAATGTAAGATCTGAAACCATAAAAGTCCTGGAAGAAAACATAAGCAGTCCACTTCTTTTTTTTGTAATCTAATTTTTTTAAACCTTTTTTATTGAGTTATAGTCAGTTTACAATCTTGTGTCAATTTCCAGGGTAGAGCACAATTTTTCAGTTATACATGAACATACATATATTCATTGTCACATTCTTTTTCACTGTGAGCTACCACAAGATCTTATATATATTTCCTTGTGCTAACAGTATATTCTTGTTTATCTATTCTACATACGCCTGTCAGTATCTACAAATTTTGAACTCCCAGTCTGTCCCTTCACCCCCCACTCCTTGGCAACCACAAGTTTGTATTCTATGTCTATGAGTCTGTTTCTGTTTTGTAGTGGTCCACTTTTTGACACTGGTATTTGCAATATTTGTGTGGGTGTTGGAGGATCTGTCTCCACAGGCAAGGGCAACAAAAGCAAAAATAAACAAATGGGAGTACATCAAACTAAAAAGCTTTTGCAGAGCCAAGGAAATCATCACTAATCAAAAAGGCAACATACTGAATGAGAGAAGATATTTGCAAATAATATGTCCAACAAGGAGTTTATATCCAAAATACACAAAGAATTCATATAACAAATATCAAAGAAACCAGACAGTCCAATTAAAAAATGGGCAGAGGACTTAAACAGATATTCTTCCAAAGAAGATATACAGATGGCCAACAGGCACATGAAAAGATGCTCAACACCACTAATCATCAGGGAAATGCATATCAAAACCACAATGAGATATCACCTCACATCTGTCAGAATGGTTATTATCAAAAAAGGACAACAAGTAACAAGTGTTGGTAAAGATGTGGAGAAAAGTGAATCTTTGTGCACAGTTGGAGGAAATGTAAATTGGTGCAGCCACTATGGAAAACAGTATGGAGCTTCCTCAAAAAATTAAAACTAGAACTACCATATGATTCAAGAATTCTATTCCTGGGTATTGATATGAAGGAAACAAAAACACGAATTTGAAGATATATTCACCCCAATGTTCATTGTAGCATTATTTACAATAACCAAGATACAGAAACAACATAAATGTCCATTGATAGATGAATGGATAAAGAAGAGAAATGAACTCTTTCCATTTATGACAACATGAATGGGCGTAGAGGGTATTATGCTATGTGAAATAAGTCAGACAGAGAAAGATGAATGCTGTATGATTTTACTTATATGTGGAATCTTAAAAAGTGAACAAACAAAATAGAAAAGGACTTACACATACAGAGAACATACTGGTGGTTGTCAGGGGAGGGAGATGGGTAAAATAGGCAAAGGCGATCAAGAGGTACAAACTTCCAGTTATAAAATAAATAAGTCACTACAGGTAATATATAACACAGGGAATATAGTCAATAATATTGTAACGACTTTGTAAGGTGACAGATGGCAACTGGACCTGTGGTGATCATTTCATAATATATAAAAATATTGAATCATTCTTTCATACACTTGGAACTGTTATAGTATTGTAAGTCAATTGTACTTCAATTAAAAAAAGATTTTAAATCAGTAATATCTAAATTAGGCAAAGTAATTTCTAATATGTGCTTTATTTTATTACTGTTTCTGTTTGTGTAAAACCACTAAAAACA